GTGGGGGGGGAAGATCGGCCCTCCCTGACCCAGCACACATTTACTAGAAGGTAGTCTCAACCCTCGGGGGCCAAATCCAGTCAAGCCAGGGGCCATAACCAGCCCCTGGGCCATAGGTATCCCATCCCTTCTTTACAGCATTCAGTCCCCCGTACTGTAGCAGTGTAGAAAAAAACGCTGCAGGGGCTGGCAGGGCGAGCCAAGGCATTAGGACAGCTGCACTGTTTTAAGAGCACAAACAGGAAGCAGCCCTGTGCTCCCGCGCTGGTACGTTTCATCTGGAGAGAGGAAATAAAACCTCCTCTCTGCCCTCCTCTACTCCTGTTTTTGTACACTCCGCAGGTGGCTCATCTTCCTGGGTCACTGTTACCGCCTTTGCCTCTCTCTGTGTGAAGGCAACCTCCCCTCCCCTGAGGTGGACAGCACCTCCCCCCAGCCAAACCCCAACTCCAATCATCCCCCATCTGATTTTTCCCTTCCAGTCCCTCTTCTGCCTCACCCTAAAGTTACCTGACCCCCCCCAGGCCACTTAATTTCTGCCCCCTGTTAATACTCTGCCCATCTCTCCACTGTGCCCTCTAAACTCCTTTTCAATGCTTGTAAAGAGCCAGAAATAGCATCTGAATCCATGTAAGGGCAGAGTGAAGGCAGTAGCAACAACAGCTCTTATTGAGCATGCTCAGTTTCAGTGTGCATGCTTACTACACACTAAGTATCAAATTCTGAGACTTCTGTCGCTGCACCCTCCCATTCTAGAAGAGAAACTGAAGACAGGTGAGTGAAATACTATGTCATATAAACTAGTCTTTATTTTACTCATTAGTAAAATCCTATGGGCAAGTATGCCGTTTAGGGGATTGGAGGCAGTAGCCCTCCTTCCTGAGTTTAGACCTGAAGTCTGCTTAAAGCTGCATGCCCTGACTCCAGAGGCAGTTTTTAAATGCAACAGAGTTTGAGCTGCTTTCAGTTTTGCCTTTGGGAAGGGGGTTTATTATAAAAGAGGGAGGGGCAGGGTGATTAACAATAACAAAAGGCTGGGCATTCCAGTTGTGACAGACCGGGCCGGGTCTGGGCACGGCTGAGGGCATCCGCTCAGGGCGAATGGCTCAAACTCGGGGCTCCATACACCCCCAGACTGGAGGCCCTTCCCAAATAGGCCACAAACCAGTTGCACAGAGCACTTCAGCTGCCTGTCTGGCCAGCCAGAAGCCTCATGAACAAAACCCCTTTGAGACCTCAGCCCTATCTGTGCCCCTAACAGCCCAGGGCCTAACACACAGGTGCGGGGTTTAGAACCTAATCTCACCTTCTTAAAAAAGGTGTGAACAGGAACTAATCTAAAAATGACTGCAGAGTGATATAAGGATTTCATAAAATTGAGTGATTAGGCAACACAAAGGCAGATGGAATTCAGTGTTGATACATGCAAAGTAATGCACATGGAAAAATATAATCCTAACTATAGATACAAAATATCTGTTACCACTTAAGAAAGAGAGCTTGGAATTCCTGTGGATAGTTCCCTGAAAACATCTGTTCAATGTGCACTGGCTGTCTAAAAATTAAAAAGCTAATAGAATATTAGAAATCATTAGGAAAGGATTAGCTAATAAGACAAAATACCATATTGCAAAGATATATTGTATTTGGAAAAGGTACAGAAAGGACAACAGAAAATAATAGGGTATAGGAACAGTGCTCTTCACAGGTGATTAAGTAGCCTGCCCATGCACAGGGCCCGGAGCCTCTAACTGGGCAGGGCTGATTAATCACCTGTAAAGCTCTGTTGCCATGCATTTTAGAGGGAACATTGGTAAGGAACAGCCTCCATAGGAGTGAAGATTAACAAGACTAGGAATTTTCAACTTAGAAAAGAACTAACTAAAGGGGGGATATGTTAGATGACTAGAAAATCATGAACAGTGTGGAAAAGTAGAATAAGGAAATGTTAGTCATTCCTTCACAAACATAACACAGTAAGCTGACCCAATTACATTTATAGGCAGCAGATGTAAAAAAAACACAGTAAATTATTGTTTCACGTTCAACTTGAGGAACTCTTTACGAGGGGATGGTGGAAAGGCCCAAATCATAATAGGGTTCCAATAAGAACAAGGAAGTTCAAGGAAGATAGGTCCATCAATGGCTAATAACCAGAATGGGCAGGGATGGTGTTGCTAGGTTCTGTTTGCCAGAAGCTGGGAATGGGTGACAGAGGAGGGATCATGATGATTACCTCTTCTCTTTATTCCTTCTGAAGCACCTGACATTGGCTGCTGTTGGAGGACAGGATACTAGGTTGAAAGACCTTTTGTTTGACCCAGTATGGCCATTCTGATGTTCTTACATAGAGCTAAAATGTATCTGCCAACTTGCTGTAACCCACTAAATCCCAATCATCTTCCAGAGCTGAGCTAGAGTCCAAGAGTCTTGACAGGGTCTGTCTCTCTCCACAGAGTTAGTAACAAAGTAAGAATATATATTACAATGTTAAGGCTAACCAATGTCCCTTAAGTGACTTGCCACAAGATGTCAGAATATGTTAATGTTAGAGCTGAGTGGGTCTAATATTTCTTTAATTTTCTTTCTTATATACAGGGTATTCCCACTATACGTCTCCCCAGTATACATCCATTCCACACTAAGGTCATTGGCACTTGTAGGAACTGAGGGTATGTCTACACTACAGCACTAATTCGAACTAACTTAGTTCAAATTAGTTAATTCAAACTAAACTAATTCGAATTAGTGCATCTAGACTTAAAATCTAGTTTGAATTAGCGTTTTGCTAATTCGAACTAGCATGTCCACACTGAGTGGACCCTGAACTGAGGTTAAGGATGGCCAGAAGCAGTGCCGGCAGGGCATCAGATTAGGACTTAGAGCGTGCAGCTGCTGTCTCAGGCTAGCTGAGGGCTGTGCTTAAAGGGACCCAACCCCCACCCCGGACAGACAGTTCTCAGGGGTTCCCCGCTTGCAAAGCAGTCCTGGCTTGGAGTGCCCTGAGTGCCCACACTCGGCACATCACAGCACTCGGCCATCAGCCCGGCTGCATTTGCCGCAGGCTGCCATCCGGAGTGGGGTCAATCAAGGGGCTTCAGGAGAGCTTTCACCCCGAGGAGGCCGCAGAGCCACCCCAGTCCTCCCCATCGGGCGCTCGTACCCTATTCCTCCCTCACCTCCTTCCACTTACCCCTCCCTAGTCCCCCTTCCTGATGTACAAAATAAAGGACATGTGTGTTCAAAATAGAAACTCTCTTTATTGAACAAAACTCGGGGAGACTGGGAAAAGGAGGTGGGCGAGGGGAAGAGTGAGGGTGGGAGAGGGGAGGGCAACTAAAATGATCAGATGTTTGGAACAGGTCCCATATGAAGAGAGGCTAAAGAGACTGGGACTTTTCAGCTTGGAAAAGAGGAGACTGAGGGGGGATATGATAGAGGTCTATAGAAGCATGAGTGGTGTGGAGAGG